GAAAGAGAGATCGAGAGAAGTGAGATAAAGAAATGCGAGCATAGGGAATAAATAGAGTAAGCGAATAAATGATTGGTAGAGTGTGTGTTTGTGTTTGTGTGGTAAAATGTCATCAACATAATGAATATTCGACGTAATATAAACACCTGCCGCAATGTCATTATCATCATGAAAGAGAAATGATTTTGCATTACCGGTTGAGCTATTTGCGTGTATGTGTACGTGAGTGTGCGTGAGTGACTGAGCGACGAGATCCAATGCCAAATGTGTCTACACATCACTTGGCTATCTGCGATGGTTTATGTTTATGTTTTTCTGGTTAATTTATTGGCATCGTTATGATCTTTTCTTCATTTTTACCTCAACACATCCTTTTTGTTTTCTTTTAGCAAAATGCCACGCTTTTCATCTTTTGCCCTATATTTAAAGATTAATTTATATGCGCTTATCCTTGGTGGCATTTGAAAGATTCGCTCAACATTTAGTTTTTATACAATGTTCAGGCTCATTAATTTAGTTTGGTTGTTTTCACAGCGCAGCTGCTTCATATATTTTTTGCATTTTTACATCATTCTTCAAGGAAAATTTGTATATTTCACCAGTGCACAGTGAGAGTTGTTGTGTGTGGTGACTCTCAGCAAATACGATTTCAATTAGTCCACTCGTTTACTTGTTCCCGCTTGGTTGCCTGCCGGCTCGAGTATGAGCTGTGAATGGCGCGCGCTCACGCTCATCGACATTCTTCAACTGAAATGAGAATTGTGTGATTCATGTGAATGGTCGACACAGCACTTGACTAAAAGCAATTTCCTCATCATATGAAAGAGGAAATGAAACATTTTCCCAATATTAGTAACCTAGGCTTGGTCGACACTCAGTCTGAGCGTTATCCTTTTTGCTAGGTGATTATGTTGTTGTTGTTTAATTGTTTGCTTATCATTTAGCTGGTGATGCATGCCGGCCATCCATCAGTTGCTGCAAGGCCAAAATGTGTCAGTTGTGTATGAGTTGGACAAACAGCGGCGTCGTCTAACAGATTTAATTAATATTTAATTCGAAAATAATTCGATTGTAGCAGCGGTGGTTGGTTATGTAAACTTGAATTGAAGACACTAAACAACCGATTATCTCTTGTGGATGGTTAGAGACGATTCGATTACATTTTCATATTAACTCGAAATTACACCAAATGACAGACGCATACTCTGTATCAAATAAGAATTATTATGCGATTCAGACGTGCCAATTTTACGCCGTTTCCCATTCCGCCGATAATGATGCCGCGAATTTTTCGGTTCTATTGCACACCAGTTTTTATTAATTCTCAGCACTGCCATGACTTCACGCTGAATGAATAATTGTGCAATGTCAGTATATTTTCATAATTTCAAGTCTCGTTTGGTAAATCATTTGTATGTCTGGATTCATTACACACTCATCGACTAAAGTTCCATTTGTGAAAGTGCGAAAGAGAAAAACCGAAAGAGAAATGAATTCGTTGTACCGCACACATACATTTCGTTCGCTACATCAATCTTGCCGGGTCTACTCTGAACGCTACAAATTGGTGTGTTAATGCCACTGGAAGTAATGTTGGCAACAAATCAATAGCTCGACACCAATATTTGATTTTACCAACATTTTGAGCGTATTTTCTGTATTCATTTTTGAAGCGCTGTCTAGTTTCCTCTCAAAATAAATGTATCGGAATCCAAGCGTGCTACTCAAAGTAATTTTAATACATCGAACACTGGCAGCGTATCTAAAAAACAGGAACACTTCTTATTCTTTTCCGCAAATGCTCTTTTACAATTTCTTCAAATTTTTCTGTCGAATTCGTTTCACTGCTGTCTTGGTTTTTCCTTCCGTATCTTCCAATATATTTTCCTAAGGATAGAGAATTGCAGTCGAATACCAAATGAAATGAAATTCTCGGAAAAAAGACACGAATAATTTGGATGCTGCTTTAGGGTGCAAATGAAAACGAAATAAACACAACAAATTTCGTTTCCTGTGCAAATTTTCGGTTGTTGAGCCAAAGCGTGTGTAATAAAATGAAAGTGCACTTGAAACAAACTAATAACAACTTCAGTACGGCCGTTGAATAAAAAAAATTCCTTCGCCAAAAGAAGAAGGGTAAGCAAATAAACGTGCCGCTTGTTTTGATACTCGGACAAAGTAAGAGAGTCTGAAAAAATAAGAGGGAGAGAAAGAGACAGAAATAGCAAAATTAAACCAAAAAATACTGGGCCATCTGCAAACATTGCTGGTGCCAGTGGAAAAAAGAGCATCCGAGCAGTAGTTTTAGTTCCATGACTGAGAACAGCAAAGAAATCACACGGTTGAACAAAATAATGTGAATGCTTCTTTTGCATCGTTTGTGTCGTTATTATTCTTTTTGTTCATTTATTTCGCTTGTAATTGCTCATGATGGGTACGACTAGAGTTGAATGTATGAAGCTTATAACGAGTTTGATACGGGTGCTACACACATACTAGACGTAACTATGTAATGAACCGTGCTGACTTTGTTTTCCATTCAAGTGGAAATGCTCCATGTTCGCCTCGTGGTTTTTTATGCTATATTCATTTTGTGTATTTCTTTTTTTGTGTTTTGCCCGTTTTTCTATGCGTTCGCAAACTGGTAACTATGTTTGTTTCTTCACCGACTCAAAAGCTTCAACGCTTAGGCTTATAAAATCTTTGGGGCTCTATTTTTTTCACATTGCCACATTTTCGTCCCAATTTTAAAACTCAACATTTTTTTCTGAGCCCAATGTTCAACGAACTCTGTTCGTTACCGATTTTATTGTGGCCATGTTATATTCCAGACTTTCGGAAACGAGCAAAACAAAATTAGGAAAAAGGTTGTGATAGAAAAAAAAAACTCGCGCCAGCCGTTATTCAATCAAAACAACCGTATCAATTGTAATGGTAAAAAATTGAGTGTGGAATCGACAGAAGAGTCTATGAGTTAAATGTGAATGGTAACTAAATAAAAAAAACCAAATTGCAGAGTTAATTGAATTGTTGCTGCTGTTGTGTAAATTTATTATTCAGCGGATTTTCGTTATACATCTTGTGACTCAGAGTGCGAAAAAAAATTGACGTCGAAAAAAAGCACATGAAACAGAGTGAAAAAAGCGATATATTCCATTTGCAGAAGTGTTTACGTCAATACAATCGCTGCATCACCCACTCGAGCATCGCAGACGAGTGCAGGAGGGAAAAAACGACCGGCACAGCAAACGTAAAAACAAATACACAAGCAATACATCTGTGCATATTGAATCTCACACCCCCGAATCGGCGATTACGTACCAAACTTATCATGTTGAAAGGTGCAGAGAATAACATGTTGAATTTCAATTTTTCCACTTGTTATTTCGTTTAAATTGAATGCTCCACCTCTCTCTCCATACCTATCTTCTCTCTCTCTCGATGAAATAACACATTGTCCAGGTGCAATGTTTTGCAATCAATGCAATGAAATTCGATGGATAATACTGTGGCCAAAGTAATTTCTCTCAACAATTCGCTGGTACTTTGCTTTGTAAATGTTATGTAATGTTGAACAAATGCAAGAGAAAGTGAGATGGAGACCATAATTTATATATTATTCGTTAGCATCGTTTTTGTTGGCAACATGTTCTCCCAATCCCAAGATGAAAAACAAGCTCATCTGTCGCCTGCAACGTTCCGCATTTCCATGTTTCGGTTTGATGAAATAACAGGGTAAATTTGTGCCACTCTCTCGCTCCGGCTCCCTCTCTCTCTCTCTCCGTAAAATGGAGATAAGAAGATGTGCAAATTAGTGACGCTTTGGTGCAAACTTCGACTCTTAGATGCATATAATTTAGAGAAATGAGAAATGGCAAAAGGCGACGAATAAAATATGTGGTAAATGCGCTCGAAACGAGAGACGGTATGATGATTAGGGCTATTTGATTAAGCATTAAATCTACATAGTGGGTTCATTGGATGCCATAAAGTTTCCGTTGACCTGATAAATTGTTGTTCGTTGTTGGTTGTCCATGCATATTCGACCATTTTGTTATCTTTAGCTTCCATGTGGCGGGCACAACCTTAGAAAATTGCTCTCAAACACCCATATAATGAAACAGAGCTATAAATTTGAAAACTAAACTTTTTCTTTGTTTTCATGTTAAATAAAAAAAGTTCCTCCCTGAAAACAGCACAACGAAAATCACGTACAGATTGTTTACATCGAATTTAACATTCATTTTGTTAAGTTTTGTAAAAAAATAATGATAATTGTTAATTATGACGCTGTGATGTGTTTCAGATTCTGAAATTCAGAAAAAGTATTTTTATATTGATTTGGAGTGCATTGGACAATTGTCGTAAACATTGTGTTGAAAAACAGACTTTATTGTTTATAAATAAATGCATCAGCTGCTGTTTTTACAAAAAACATGTATTTTATAAAATTAAATCATTTTAAAGATTCACTTTTCTTTCGGATGGGTAGTCAAACTCCGGTCGATGTCAAATTTCGTTGATGTCTAAACAGGTCTTGCAGTTTTGAAGATAAGATTTTTTTTTGATAACAAGATCTTGGATAATATATTTGTGTATAAGTGCAGGTACAGGTTGCTGTAGGTGTAGGTGTTACACCTATGAGCGTACCATCTTTCGTACTGAGTTTTAATTTAATAGTTCAACTGAATTTGATCATGGTACCTACCATACCTTATATTTATAAACCTTATAAGACAGTTTAAACGTTTCAATACCGCATTTCCATACAAATTTAGTCATTTTTTTCTATCACTGAACTCAAAGACTTACCATTTCAAAACTAGTGAATATTTTTTGCCAAAAATTTACTATTTCTATTTTGCTCTCATGTATCATTTTCGAAACCTCGAAGAACGGCATTTTGTATGAAAAATACATAGGTGTCCCCAGATTCAATTATTGACATTTGAAAATTCGAGAGCAATAATGCCGATAATAAGTTAACCATGGACAAAAGATTTAAAGAATATTGATGTCTCTTTATTACGGATTTTTTTTCTATCCACGAAACATGTTTGCTGCATACAGTTCAATAGTGATTATGAATATATGGTTTGATTAACACTTGCAACCTTCCGAACTGGATGAACTGGAACTTGATTTGCCTGGATACTCATATGGTCCTAAATCGTCGACATTTTTAACTACGAGTTTTCCTGTAATACCTATTTCCAAGTCAGCATAATACAACCGATCCTTCTGTCCCTTTCTTTTTAGTATGAAATACACCCTGATTTGATTATAGTCCGGAATTGAACATTGAACTGCAATGATGATTTTGACTTTAAAATCTTCATGAAACAGGTCACCTAATGAAGAATGAATTACACAAATAAAAAAAGTTAAATTATAGCCCGAATAGAATATCGCTAATATCCGTATACAATGTAACAGTGCCCAAATATATGTACGAATTAATAATATTTACACAGATATTTTTTCAATGCTTTCGCCAAATCTTTGTACCCATTTACTGGGTATTGTGTCCACTTGCAAGTTGTAGTTGGAGTTGGTGTATCACCAGCTTCGCTAACAATTACTATTGCTAGAATACTAAAAACCGCAACAAATAAAGATGTCATCTTTCGTACCGATTTTCGATGTGATAGTCCAATTGCAACTGGCGTTGCTATATTTATACGCTTTATGGAACTAGCTGTGGTGATATTGTATTGAGAAATATTGATGCAAAAATACGAAGAGACTGACGCATTACTTATTGCGTTGCAATTGCAGCACCTTTGTATTGCATTGATTTGCAGAAAAATAAAAACAGAAACAGAATGAACTGCCTCAACCCTTTCGCAATCGTTCCGTTTCATAAGTGCACGTTTGCCAATTGCTCTTTCCAGACGAAAATTAATCGCAATTTTTTGCTTCAAAAATTGTGAAAGATCTTCAAATGACTTCTAAATTCTTATTTGAATATGGAACATTTTCTAAAACTATTTTGAACGGAAGTTTACTATATTAATTATAAAAGAAATTCGAATATTCGAGAATGACTACAGGGATTGCGTTTTATTATTGTATAGTTTTAAAGTATTGAAAACCCTAGGGGGCAGACACGTGAAATAGGATTAGACTTTTAGTGTAAAGATTCGAGAAATTGCAATGAAATAGCAACGCCTGTGAATGGATTCGCGTGGAATAGCGAAACAGTGCATGTAATAGCAAAAATTGTTTCACTTCAAATCCATTTGACATTTCTTTTGACGTTTATTGATGGATTAGTGGAATAGTGCGGAATAGCAGAATTAACATTTTTGACGGAAACCGAGCATGGAATAGGAAAAATAGTTTCGATTTCACATTTGTGTTTTTGGATTAGTGGAATAGCTGGATTAGTAATTTATATAGTGGATTCGGAATTTATACTTGGTGTCTCCCCCCTAGTGAAAACCTCAGATAATAAAAAAAAAATTAAGAATTGTTAAAAAAAATTTAAAAAAAGAGCGAATTTCCAAAAAACGTTTATTTTCAGAGAATGACAAAATCAACTCCGAAAATAACCTTCAATCACACGCAATACATCTGCGTCAGTTATTACACAACGTTTACACACAAATAAGATTTTAAATTGAGCTTATTGGTTAAGGATCTCTTTATTTTTTAATTATTTTCTTGCCAAAAATAACAGTTGGGAAATATTTACGCATATATTTCATAATTACCAACCAGATGATGATGAGGATGAATCCGAATTAATTTGTCCAAAATTGTCAACTTTGGTAACGCTTAATTTTCCTGTTATACCTGTAAATCCGTCGACATGAACCAAATGCATCTGTCTGTTGACTTTTACTATGATATATGCTTTGCGTTGATAATTTTCGGGCATATTCTTTTGAAATGCGATGATTATTTTCTCGACGTCAACATTTTTATAATACGTTTCACCTAAAAAAATAAAAAGAGAGTCTAATTGGACATTGGTTGATATTAATTTGATGGAATATGAAACCATATTTACTCAGCGCTCTCTTCCATAATGTTGCCAATTCTTTGTATCCACTGATTGGGTACAGTTCCCATTTGTAAACTGACTTGGGTTGAAATACAGGAGGTGACGGTGCTGCACCAGCTTCTCTTGCTATTATTGTTGCCAGTATGCCACACACCGAAAGCAACGAAATACTCAATAAACATGCCATTTTTCTAGCAGGTTTTAGATATGATAGTTCATCTGGAACTGTTTTATCTACATATTTATACTCTATAGACTTTACTACATTTGAAACTGTTGTTTCAAACAAATACGGCCTTGACGTCAATGAGATTGACGTATTGTTTATCGCAATTATATTTTTAATAATTAATTGGAACAAATGTACACCGCCGTTAAATGAAATAAACTATACGTCTTGTTTGGTTAGTGCAAATTGACGCATGACCTAAAACAAATCTCCAGTCATAGCTTCTGAGCAGGGGTCCGAGGGGTTGGATTACCCCCCCTGGAGAACAGATTTGGGAATGACCCCCTTAGAAAATATTCTTTCGATTTGCTAAGGATTTTCGCGAAAAATGTGAAGACCTTTTTTTTTGCTCTTCACTTTCTAAATCGGGAGAAAATATTCAATTTTGGTAGGGTTATTTGAAGAAGAAAATCTTCCAATCTGCTAGGGTTTTTTGGGGTAAATGCTCTGAGAAACCCCCCCTCCAGGAAAAAACTATTCAAAAATGCATTTTTGAATTTGTGCGAGACCAAATCGAGAAAGTTACCCCTTTAAATTTTTGGAAATTTTTTAAATTACCCCCCCTTGGATCGCCAACTCCAGAAGCTATGTCTCCAGTTTTTTAAATGAAAGCCAAGAACGGTTTATAGGTGTAAATTAATATTTTATTCGAAAAACGTAACTGTTAACATATAAACCGTTCTTAGCTTTCAATTTTAAAAACAAACATCCACGCTAAGGGCTTAATTAAGCCCCTAGCATCCACGGTTGGTAGACACCAATATTATCTCCTGTTTATTTCAAATATCCAATTAAAATTGTAGACACAATTCATTATCCTTTTTTATTTGAATATGGAAAGTCATATTGTACAAACAATTTCTTTCGTAAATTAGTGAAAGATTTTCTTTAAATTATCGTGGGAAATTTGTTTTCATAGATTTGAAATATTAAAATGAGCGAATGTTACATTACCAGATCTGAGTATATAGTTAATTCTTCAAGTATTGAAAACCATGGAAAATAATATGTGGTGATTAATCTTTAGAGAACGATGAATTCGCAGAGAAAATGACACCAAAAATACCATTTGGAAGGTGATTCAATTCATATGTGCTGGCGATCACATGTTGGGGTCACAAATTGGCAATAACTTACTTTGAAGTGTTCAAAATATTTTCCAGAAGTGATTGTTATGGTTATAATTGAAATTAAATTGCTACAATCACTTTTATTGTTTTCATTCAATTTCAGCGCTTGACGATATCTGGCTGAGCTGATTCATCTGTCTGAAAATATCTCAATATAAAGTCTGATATTTTCACAGGAACAGTTATGTTTAGTGAAATGTTTAATTAATTCAAGAGTGAAAGACCGAACATGCCTAACAGCACAATATTCTGTCTATAAACGATAGTTTAATGCTCTTTTAAAAAATGTATTTCAATGATTGAAGAATCTTTTCTTACATGTTTAACATTTTTGAACAGTAAATAATGCTAGGATAAACAATCAATTAAAAAAATTAAAACACCATAAATTGAGCTTAAGCTTCTATTTTATTATTTTATATTATTTATTTCATTATTATTTGTTGGTCACAACATATAGTTGAGAATATAATTTATCATCAACAACCGGAATTTGGTGGTGATAAACCAGAATTAAGCTGTCCCAAATCGTTTACTTCAGTAATTACAAATCTTCCCGAGAAACCTACATATGCTTTGACATAAAGCAGGTGTGTCCTTCCTTTCCATTTTGCTAAGACCAACACTCTAATTTGATTATTGTCAGGCATATTGTTTTGTAGTGCAATAATTATTCTTACGACCTCAACTTCTACTCCATATCGTTCAGCTAAGGAACAATTGCAGAAAAAAGAGAATTAATCAAATTTTAAAACTAGATTCTTCAATTCGCTTCAATTGGTGAGTCATTTGGGTAATTTGTTAGAATATGAAACAATATGACGAATAAGAAAATTACTACTTACACAGAGCTTCCTCCAAATTTTTCTCCAATGTTTCGAGTCCACTTTCTGGGTAAATTTCCCATTTGTAAACTGTAGATTGAGCACCAGTTTCACGAACAATTATTATCGCCAGCACACTATAAACTGCAACAAACGAAATACTCAATAAACGTGTCATCTTTCATACAGATTTTCGATATTATAGCCCAACACAAACTGTTTTATCGCATATTTATAGGCTCTACGGAAAATATCATTAGACTATTGCATTGCGAGATGTTGATGCAAAAAATACGCATTTGACGTCAATGAAGTCGACGTATTGTTTATCGTACTCCTATTTTTATAAATTTCTGCCAAAAAATGAGGGAACTACAATCTCTGTTTTGAAATCGTATTATTTCATTAATGTAAATTGGATGCCTTAAAATGATCAAAATATTTAATTTGCCGCCATAGACAATAACAAAAAATATAAATATCGACATCTTTCTGGGATAATGAATTGCGAGAAAAAATGATGTTGTTTTTGTTGAGAAAAATACCCTTCTGAAGGTGATGCAATTCATTTGTGCAGGCGATCACATGTCGTTGGCAATAAACTGTTTTGAATTATGAGCATAATGATCTGAGCAACTGAGAACACTGACAAATCATAATGAAATCACATTTCGGATTTGGTGATATTTAATGCGGTCGTCAAAATGCCATTGCGTGCTGCCACCATTCACATTTAAGTATGCAAATTCTTTTCCACTGTTATCTGTACGAATTTCGTTTTATAATAATGCACAGAGAGACACATCTTTGGTCTAGTCTTTAGTGGTTGGTGCGAATAGAAATGAATTTCGAATTAGGTAGTTTTGAATATGCGATTCCAAAATTTTGAATAAAATGCCATAAACTTGCTGCTATCGCAGTGCCTGTCAAATAAGTAAGAGTGGATGCCCCGCACATGATTACGATAACGAATACCATTTCGAATGCATAAACAACATGAGGAGCACGTACGTAAGTTTTGAAGTGTCAAACCGTATGTGAAATACAAGAGAGAGGAATCCAGTTTGTGACTCGCAATTTGGGCATGTCTCTTTTCTCGCTCATATTACAATCCTTATTGTATCATATTTATGCACAGCATTTGAAATCATTTAACTAATTAATTCAACATGTTCACTCACTTCGCCGTTGCCGACAAAACTTTTGCCACCAAATTCAAAAACGCTCTATCTCTCCTTCTCTCTCTCTCTCTCTCTCTCTCTCTCTCTCCCTCTCACCCTCATTCCCTTTTTTGCTTTTCCAATTTGTGTCATTCGCTGTCAAAAAAGATGCCGCCTAGGGGCAAACTACTTCACTTTCGTAATTCTCATAATTCAATCTAGTACTCCGATAATTCCAAAAAATTCTATATAATTCCATACAATGCCACATAATTCC